GGTGCCCGCCACAACGCCTGGCTATTTTTTTTGATTGCAGGCTTCATTGTTGTTTGGTGGGCCCAGGCTGGATTTGAACCTGTATGTGGCTGGTGCCTTAAGCCACTTGAGCCACTGGCGCCAAGCCTATGTTTTTTTTGTTGCAGTTTGGCTGGGGCTAGGTTTGAACACACCACCCTCGGTATATGGGGCTGACACCCTACTCACTGAGGCACAGACGCCGCCCCATATAATGATTCTTGCAATACAATCCCAGAAGGTAAGGACTAATTCCTTCACTTCACAGATGAAAAAGCTGAAGCTTAGAAAAATTAAGAACAAATCAGTTTTATAAATTATTATAATTTATTAATTATAAGCTAACTAGAACTAGGGCTGAGGTTCAAACTCAAGGGCCGTCCAACATAAAGCACGTGTGCTCTTTATCAGTATTCATGATGCTTGGAATGCAGGGTCTTAACTGCTAGACCAATTGGTAATAGAACATTTTAGAATATTAGAACATTTAGAATAGTAGGCAAGTATAAACGCTAGAACATTTAGAATAGTAGGCAAACGGGGAGGAGGGAAGGAGAGGGGAGGGGGGATGCGTAGAGGGGAGAGGGATTGGAGGGATCACTTCTGTGGTTTATCTTACAAGGGTACAACTGAATCTTTCTAAGAGTAGAATATGAACATTTTAACACAATAACTAAGAAAATGACATGGAGGCTATGTTAACCAGTTTGATGGAAGTGTTTTGGATTGTGTGTGAAAACACCACACTGTACCCCAGAAGTGCATTAATGTACATAGTTACCATTCAATAAAAAAGAAAAAAAAAAAAGAATAGTAGGCAAGTAAAAAATCACTGAAGGAATCCCTGCTCCAGAAATTTAGACTTGAGCTCAAAATTTCGCCTTCTCCACAAAGAGCTAACACTCTGGATCAAACATTTACAATACAGACTGAGTTGACATTTTACTAACACACTACACATCTAAACATCTCCCATACTTTACTACAGAACAAGATATATTGCTGGTTAGTAGGCAGACTGGTTACACTGGTAGAACAATAGCATCAAATTTACCAAGGTAGAATAGAATTATGGCCACACTAGATTAGGAAGAAATGATATGGCCACACTAGATTAGGAAGAAATGATATGTCAAAAAAGACAGTAGTCTCTTGATAGCATTCTTTGCCTGCCAATACATTTAATACCAGCCATGAATGACTGGCTAACTGGCATCCAAGCTATGACTTTTTTCAATCTCTACCATACTTTCAGGTAATAAAGACATACTTTATCAGATGAGATTTTTGTCATACTAAATATAATATCAAATTTCTTACATCAAGGTAATCTAGAGCAAGGAACATCTCAGGTTCAGCTCTTTCCTCCTTCAGAAATCGAATACAATCTCTTGCTATCTTTTCAGAGGTTACAACAATGGCAACCATGTATCGACCAAAAAGCTTAGTAACGGCCAGCTGGTATTTCTTATGGATAGGATGACACAGGTCAAGTAATCTTCCAAACTTAAGGAGAGAAAAACAAATACATTAGTGAGGAACATATAATGCATTGTTTTCTAATGTAATAAAGTAAAATAGACAAAAACTAATTTTATACAATTATATCCATTGTAATTTAATAGAGTCTCATTCAAATAGACCTAAGTTTCATTATGAAATGTCCATTTAGCTGTTATGCTTCCTTTAGGAAAACAGTAATGAAGAGGGACTAGCCTTACCAAAGTATTAAAATATTTTACAAAACTACAGTAATTAAGTTATATTCATTAGTTCTCTTCTCTATTAAGAATCTATACAATATCTACTATGTACAGGTACCTACTATGTGCTAGACACTTGTATAAACATTACTGAACAAAACAGATACTCTCTGACCTTATATAATATTTGGTCTACCAAGGAAGAAATAAATAATAGAATGACACGTATGTACAAAATAGTTAGACAGTGTGACAAAGTACAGAGTGCACTCAAGAGTACACAACAGGGACCAGGTTGCCCTAACAAGGGAAGTCAGGGAAGGGTTCCCACCAAATGTTACTTGAGCTAAAACCTGAAGAATGGTCAAGAAATAGACTGAAGTTAAAAACTTTACTACAAAATGTCTGAATGTCAACCACATCTTTGGACTCTTTCATCTATTGTCAGGTTCCACTTGAGTTATATAATTTCCTTATTTGTCTTTCATCTTATCTTTGCTCTAATTATTCAAATCTCTCTTTCCCTTTGATCCTTGTGATTGTCTCAAGCCTTTCTTCTAGATCAATAATTTGATTTTCTGCTATCTAACCCATTCCTTCCTATTTCTAATTTATTAGTATTTATTGCCACTTCTAATTTATTAAATGTACTATTATTAATTATATGCTAATTATTCAGCAATGTTTGTTCTTGATTTGTTTTCTTATCTCTACATTTCCCTTTTCATTTTATTGTTTAACCTCATAGTTGAATCCAGTTTTATAAATTCAAACTCTTACTAAATTTTCATGGCACAAACACTTAGGGAGGATTTTGTTCTGTAACCTAGACTGGACCCTTTGACTTCTAAATTTTTTTAAATACTTTAATATTATTATCATAGCTGCCAAAGTGATTCTTTTTACCTTGCTAATATTTAATACCATTCAGACTCTTTGGCTGCTGTGATGGATAATGTTTTCCTGATTCTCTTGCCTGTAGAACTGAGATGGTTATCTCTAAGCAGCAATTTATAAAATAAGTATTTCTGGTTCTATCCACTTTCCTATCTCCTAAGGATCTGTATGTCACGAGAGATCAGCAGACTTTTTAAGAATATGCTTTATGGCTAGGTGCAGTGACCACACCTGTAATCCTAGCATTATGGGAGGCCCAGGGAGGTAGGTTGCTTGAGCTCAGAAGTTTGAGACCAGCCTGATCAAGAGTGAGGCCCTGTCTCTATTAAAACTGGAAAAATCAGGGCGGTGTTATGGTGAGTGCCTATAGTCCCACCTACATGGGAAGCTGAGGCATGAGAATCACTTGAACTCAAAGAGTTTGAGGTTTCTGTGAGCTGTGATGACATCATAGCACTCAATCCCAGGGTGACAGAGTGAGACTATCTTAAAAAAGAAAAAAGAATGTGCTTTGAATTTGAATACCTGGGTTCTCTTCTGAGTTTTCAATTAACATCCTATACCATGGTTCTTCTACCTTGAGGGAGGTAGAAAAATCTCATTTTGGCAAGAGGGATTAAAAATGGCTGAGCAATTTAATTAGGACCCCCTGGAGTCTTTACTCCCATGAGAAAACATGAGAGGGTCATGTTCCCTGATTCATCAGTTTTTTCATTTAACTCCCTTCAGTTAGAAGAAGACAAAAGAAAACAAATACACGAGTTTCCTTCTTACTAAAGACTACTAGGTGAGAGTTCTCAGGAATTAGATAATTTATCAGTTCAGTTTCTGCAGTTACAAGCAAGCAATGCTATACTTTTCAAGGTTTTTTTTTTTAAATCCTGCACTATCACAGCTTTCTGCAGGTTATGTCATTCAGTTGGTTGTTGTTGAACTAGTTTTTCTTTTTTCTTTACTAGTTTTTATCATTTTGATACTAATTAGGGGAATGAGATTCTGTGATTCAGCCTTACTCCTTCATCATTATCCAAAAGTCAAAAACAACATTTAAGAGTCAGAAAGTCAAAACAGATGCTGTAAAGGAGATGAAGATGGTTGACCAGAGCAGTAGGAGAAAAACCATGAGTGTGGTATCATGAAGGCCAATGGCAGTAGTTTTAAAATAGAGCAAGTAGTTAGCTGTGTCAAATGCTGAAAACAGGCCACTATAAAATAAAGACTGCACAAGGTAGAGTTAGGTAGTGACAAGAAAGTCAGATGCCAGACCCTTGATACCAAAGGAATCCTGTGAGGCTGCCATCCCAAGCAAATGGGTGCTTATATTTTGCCTAAAGGAATACTGGGTGCACAGTCAGACTCAGAGAATAAAAATATGCCAATAATACCTGTTAAAAATATATTTTCTAAAAATATTGAAACCATAAAAATCATGAGGTTTGAAGCTACATGTCTGGGGAGCTCAGACTACTTCATGGCACCCAGGTCTTTTGAGGGTACTGGCTACAACTTGGACTTTCTGGTATTATGTTCCTGTCAATGCTTCTCCCCAATAATGACTTATCTATAGGCACTCTTGGAAGTTATTTACATTTTACCCTAATTATTTACCTTTTGTATTTTATTTTTTTGCGGGGAGGACTCAGACCCAGGAATCTTGGACATGAGCTCTGACTACTGTTATATTTTAAATAGTATAAAACACAAAATATTTCTGAAATAATTTTTCTTAATATTGGTAATATTTCTAATCCCAAATAAGAAGATATTGTTTTCACTAAACTAGAATGCTTTGCATTTTTGTCTTAATCAACTTTATTCTAATTACCACAGACTCGGGGTATAGCCTCTTAAGGTGCTCAAGGACCTCTGCTCTCTTTTGCTCACGTTTTCCCTCATGGTTATCAATTCCAGCATTCTGCAATTCACTTCTAATAAGATTTAATTCTTCATTAACTTCAGACATTCTTGATTTTGTTTTTTCAATTTCACCCATTAAGGCTTCCTCCTGCTGTTTTTTCTCTTTCAAGCAATCCCTACATAATAACAAAATTATATAGCAAAAAAAGAAAAAAATCAAAACTTAGTAATCTCAAATATAACATACTCTTTTTTTTTTTTTTTTTTTGAGATAAAGTCTCACTATGTCACCCTTGGTAGAGTGCCGTGGCGTCACAGCTCATAGCAACCTCAAACTCTTGGGCTTAAGCCATTCTCTTGCCTTAGCCTCCCAAGTAGCTGGGACTACAGGCGCCTGCCACATGCCCAGCTATTTTTTGTTGCAGTTGTCATTTTGTTTTTAGCTGGCCTGGGCCAGATTTGAACCAACCAGCCTCAGTATATGTGGCTGGTGCCATAACTACTGTGCTACGGGTACTGAGCCAACATACTCTTTCTTAGCCTGGCACTGCTGAGGAATGAAGTAGTGCTTTATCAATTTTAAAAGGATTAAAAAATACAATGCAATAAACCTAACATCAATATTGGCAAAAGAGATTTTGAAGCTCAGCATATGTGGCTCAGTGGCTAGGGTGCCAGCCACATACACCAGGGCTGGTGGGTTCAAACTTGGCCTGAGCTGGGCTCCAACCCGCCAGCCCCAGTGTATGTGGCTGGTGACATAACCACTGAGGTATGGGCGCCAAGCCATGAGCTTCATTTTCTAATAAGGAAATTCCAATTTAAAAGAAATCTTTAGTGGCAGAATACTTAAGTTAGCTTCAGTTTTCTGACTTAACTCATTACTTCCATTATATATTAATACCACAAGGTAGTTTAAGTTTCACTGCTGTTACACATTAATATTTTCAAGTGTTAAATAATTTAGTATGCAGTTAAGTTTAATCTTTAGCAATATACAGTGAAATGGAAAATAATGAAGGAGAACATTATAACATAGTGAGAACATTCACTTGACGTTCAGAGATATATCAGATGTTTGAGATATAAGAAAGTTGCCTGGGGCAGTGCCTGTGGCTCACAGGAGTAGGGCACAAGCCCCGTATACCAGAGGCAGTAGGTTCAAACCTGGCCCCAGTCAAAAAAAAAAAAACTGCCAAAAAAAAATGAAGAAAGTTTCTTGGATTTTTTTACTCTACATACATGCATGTCTTTGTATATTCCTCCAACTTCTCTATTCGTTTTTTATGATCTTCTATTTGTTCTTTTACTTGTTTTAGATTTCCCTAAAAGAGAAAATGAAAACTAAAATCAATTTCGGCAATTCCAAACCACCAAAATTATATGCCTAGAACTTAGTATAATATCATAAGTCGTTATAATTTGAAATGTATTAAACATAACTACTAGTAAATGAAAATATCTATAAGAACAAATTTTAATTTTCAAAAGGCAGTCTGGTATAGAGTATTAAAGTTATACAAATCAGGCAGGGTTCCTGACTCCACCATTTGCTAGATACAGTAGAATCTCTACAAGTTCACCCAAGGGCCTGTAACAAATTGGTGAACATATGATGGAGGTAGTCAACATAAAGAACTAGGCCTAAGGTACCGATATGTACATGTGGTGCCCATCCAGTCTATGAAAATTAGGTCAACTTTAAGGAGGTGGTCAGTATAGGGAGGTGGCCAACTATGGAGGTTCTATTATATTTGATCTCTAATGATTTGACTTTGGTAACTTCAAGCTCCAAAGGGATTATTTTCAATTATCTATATTAATCTTTTATGTCCCTTAAACTAATTCATTCAATAAAATTGGCTAGCTCAGCACCTGTAGCTCAGAGGCTAGGGCGCCGGCCACATACACTGGGGCTGGAGGATTTGAACCCAGCCCAGGCCTGCGAAAACAACAATAACAACTACAACAACAAAAATAGCTGGGCATTGTGGCAGGTGCCTGTAGTCCCAGCTACCTGGGAGGAAGAAGTAAGAGAATCACTTAAGCCCAAGAGTTTGAGGTTGCTGTAAGCTGTGACGCTACAGTACTCTACCCAGGGTGACAGCTTGAGACTCTGTCTCAAAAAAAAAAAAAAAAATTCCATTCATAGAGAAAGAAACAAGATCAGTTTGAGGAGGAGCACCAAGCTCAGCTAACTGGGAACACCTGCCTCTGTGCCTTTACTCTGGCCTAGGCATGTCAGGCCTGGGTGCTCACATGGACACATGTGAGATAATTAGACTACCTTGGTACCAGGCATACTGGATTTGAGATGCTGGCTGATCATGCTGATTGTCTGGGAAAACTAACCACTGCCCAGTGTCAAAGATCTTAGGAACTACATCAAGTTACAGATTCTTTAGTCTGTGCAAGGATCCATCAGTCTGGTAAAAAACTGAGTTTGGATACAGGTCTTCTCCATCTTTCTCTACCCTGACATGTTATTGCTTCTTCATTTTTGTACTCAAAAGATAATAGCAATTCAACTAAGACTTACATCTTGTAAATGCATAGTTTACAATGGATACCATTAGAATCCTGTCTTTAAGAAGTTTCCAATCTAATTAAGCTGCACCAATTAACTACATGTATTAACCGTATGCTATTCGATAAAAGCCCTTAGAAAGATACAGATTAAAAACAATGGGTAATTATATGAGGAGCAAATTATTTTTTTGGAGATGAGGTAGGAAAAAAAGAAAGCCCAAGGAAGGCTTTGTAGTGTAGGTAACTACAGCATTTAACATGTAAAGATGAGCAGATTATTCCAAAAAGAAATCAGCATGCACAAAGGCAAAAATGGGCAATTTGTATTTCAGAAGTCAGTGCATTATTTTATAGAAAAAAACCTTTTTTTTTTGAGACAGAGTCTCACTCAGTCACCCTGGTAGCCAGTAGAGTGCCATGGCACTCACAGCAACCTCAGACTCTTGGGGTCAAGCAATTCTCTTGCCTCAGCCTCCCAAACAGCTGCAACTATAGGTGCCCACCATAATACCCGGATATATATATATATATATATATTTTTTTTTTTTTGAGACAGAATCTCACTATGTCACCCTTGGTAGAGTGCTATGGCATCACAGCTCACAGCAACCACAAACTCTTGGGCTTAAGTGATTCTCTTGCCTCAGCCTCCCAAGCAGCTGGGACTATAGGTGCCTGCCACAATGCCCAGCTATTTTTGTTGTTGTTGTTGTAGTTGTCATTGTTGATTAGCTAGCCTAGGCCAGGTCTGAACCTGCCAGCCTTAGGGTATGTGGCCAGCGCCCTAACCACTAAGCTACGGGTGCTGCTAACACCTGGCTATTTTTTAGACAGGGTCTTGCTTTAGCTCAGGCTGGTCTCGAACTTGTGAACTTAGACTATCCGCCTACCTTGGTCTCCCAGAGTGCTGGGATTATAGGAGTGAGCCGCTGTACCTGGCCTTACAGAAATGTTTTAAAAGTAATTCCTGCTCTGTTACTACCTTTGCTTTTTTCCTTACACAAAATGCTTTCTCTTCAAAGAACTATCATACACTATGACTTTCATAATTTTTTTGTATTTTCATTTGCCAAATTAACAAAATAACTAAAATGAGACAACACAATACAAAGATTAAAGAGATTCATTCTGGAGATACAGTGTTTGAAACCAAATCTCAGTTCTTCCAATTATAGTACTAGCTAAGCTAAGTTAACCCAATCATCTTGTGCTTAAAACCTTTATCTAAGAAATACATTAGTTTGACAAATATTTATTGACTATCTGCTCTGGATAAAAAACTATTCTAGGCTTCTTGGGATGGACCAGTGAACAAAAACATATCCTTACTCTTGTGACATTTTACATTTTAGAGAAGGCATGTAGACAAATATAAGTAAATTAAATATTAATGGTATATCAAGAGATTGATGTTATGGGAAAAACAGAGCCAGGAAAAAGAGAGCAAAAGTGCTATGGAGACTAAAATTTTAAGTAGGATGGTCAGGCTAGGCCTCACTGAGAAGGCAATATTTGAATAAAGACTTGCAGAAAGACAGAAATGTACAAAAAACATGTTCCAGGCAAAGGAATACCCAGTATAAAGGCCCTCAGGTAGAAACATATCTGGTATGTTTTAGGAGGCCACTACAGCCAGATCAGAGAGAAGAAACAAAAAGAGCAGGTTTGGAAAGCCAGTGCATGTACAATGCTCCATAGATTTAGTTAATAAAGCAACAACAGGGTTTGAGAGGATTGACCCCAATTTTGAAAGAAGTTCTGCTGTGGGCAAAATGCTATCAAATAGCATGGCATGCTACAAAGAAATATTTTGTGAAAAGAAGAGTCACTTAATGAAAAAAATTTCACTACTGTCCTTATTTTAAGAAATTGCCACATCTACCCCAATCTTTGGCAATCACCACCCTAATTAATCAACAAGCAGCCATTATCATAAAGGCAAGATCCTCCACCAGCAAAAAAATTATAGCTCACTGAAGTCTCAGATGATCATTAGCATTTTTTTTTTAGCAATAAGGCATTTTTAAATTAAGGTATGTACCTTTTTTTTAGACGTAATGCTATTGTGCACTTAACAGACTATAGTGTAAACATAAACTTCATATGCATTTGGAAAACAAAATTTACATAACGTGCTTTATTTTGATATTCTCTTTATTGTAATGGTTTGGAACAGAACCTGCAATAACTTCAAGATATACCTGTAAAAAACCTCATAAGGTTGTTTGAAGATTAAGAAGTGCTTGGTACATGTTATATACAAATAAATACAATTGATACATGTATTATAGCATTATCATTGTTATTCCTGAAAAATGTCAGACCAATTTCTTCTTTTATCCACTATAGCAAATATGTAACTCTACAGTATTGTTGTGAGATAAAGGAGTTAATGAATGTAAAGTGCCTAGCAAACTACAGGTAACCAATAAATGCTTTTTCTTCTAACTAGAAATTTTAGTTATAAATCAAATATATATAATTCTGAATGATTTCCCCACTATAGTTCTTATTATAAATAATGGCTCCTTAAGATGGCCCATATACTCCATAATAATAATTATTATTGCTGAATATGCCATAATAAATTTCATAGTCCGAATCCTCAGTCTTTAGAAAAGGTCATGAGGCTAAGAGGGAGATTTATGTGTATGTGTACATATACATACATATATATATATATTTTTTATTTTTATTTTTATTTTTTTTGCAATAGTCTCATTCTGTTGCTCTAGGCTAGAGAGCTGTGGCATCAGCCTATCTCATAGCAACCTCAAACTCCTGGATTCAACCTGCCTCAGCCTCCCTAGTAGCTGGGACTGCAGGTGCCTACCATGATGCTTAGCTCATTTTTCTATTTTTTGTAGAGACAGGGTTTCACCCTTGTTCAGGCTGGTCTCAAACCCCTGAGTTCAAGGGATCCTCCCACCTGGGCCTCCCAGAGTGTTAAGATTATAGGTGTGAGCCACTATGCCTAGCTATAGATGCTTGGTATACACATATTATCACACTCACTTTCATTTTGAAAGTCAATCTGCCCATCACTCTAAGGTAGGCATACCTATTCTCTTTTTTTGCATGTGTGTGAGACAGAGTTTCACTTTGTCACCCTCAATAGAGCGCTATGGCATCATAGCTCACAGCAACCTCAAACTCTTGGGCCTAAGTGATTATCTTGCCTCAGCCGCCTGAGTAGCTGGGACTACAGGTGCCTACCACAACAACTGGCTATTTTTTTAGAGGCAGGGTCTTGTTTTTGCTCAGGCAATCCACCCACCTCAGCCTCCCAGAATGCTAGTATTACAGGCATGAGCCACTGTGCCTGGTCTAGACATACCTATTCTCATTGTACAGTGAAGAAATGAAAGCCCAAAGGAGTTAAATAATTTAGTTATTTACTGATAATACACACCTTAAGTGAAGAACAAGACTCTGAGGCAGAACAACATAATGCTGTCTTGATGATTACTCCCAATGTAGACTAATTAGCACTTCTTGGGCAATATGTCCTTGATGTTTTCAAATGACTTTGCATTTACCTCTATTATAATATTTATCTATTTATGTCTGTATCTATCCTCTTTCTAACTCTTCTGGATTAAAATACACATAAAGAACAGAGACAGAGCTCTCTCCTGCCTTCCTCTGTCCTCTGCCTTCCTCCTCTTCCCCCACGCTCTTCTCTACTCTCTCTCTTCTCTTCCCCACTCTGTCCCCTCTTCAGTGCTGCTCTGAAGCCTCCCTCCCCCCACCAATAAAGACCTTTTGTACCAAAAAAAAAAGAACAGAGACAGCATCTTCTGACCATGCCTATAACTATACAGATGCACAGAAAATGTTTACTGAGTACATGAGTATTCATTCAGTAATGTCTATCCTTATTTTAAGCATAAAAGAACACCTAAATATTCCTAAACAGCATAACAGGCAGTTCAGAAACTTAAACATTGTAATTTGATAAAAGTCCATTTATACAAAGTTCATTAAAAAGGAATAAAATTTTACTGAGAATAATTCTAAATCATTACTGCACAACCAGAGGTACCTGAACTTCTCCATGCCTCCTCTTTTCAAATGCTAGTCTTTCTTCCTCTGCCTTCTGTTCCCACTGCAGTTTTTCCAGTTGTTGAGTCATTATAGCTACTTTTTTTCTTACTTGTTCCTTAAGTTCTTTGTAACGATCAAGCTGTATAAACAGTATTGAAAAAAATGCTAACTCACATAAAGAAGCCTAAGAGGAAATTCTTTGTATGATATTCTGTACTAGCAGATAATTAATCTTATCTAAAGTTTGTTTCATATAAATTAAATCATAATTGGCCATATTTTCCATGTAAAATAATGTAAATATAATGTAAAAGCCTTCTTTTAAAAAACTATTTAGAGCAACAGAGTCTTCAAGAAAACCTCTATAATAAAGTCCTTATCCAAAAGTCTCAAGAAGAGGAGAAAATCCAGGGGAAAATAATATATTTTTGCCTATTTATATAGTCAAAATTAATTTGGTATACATACTGATATAAGATTATTATAAAATTGATAAAAGAGATAAATGATAAAATTTAGTTGAGAGAATATTTGAAAATTCTCAATTATATCTGTTTGAATATCTACTATTAATTTATTATCATTAAGTTTTAGGTACTAAATTGGAGATTACTTAATCACTGAACATTTTTTTTTGAGCCAGAGTCTTACTTTGTCACCCTCGATAGAGTGCTATGGCATCATAGCTCACAGCAACCTCAAACTCTTGGGCTCAAGCGATTCTCTTGCCTCAGCCTCCTGAGTAGCTGGGACTACAGGTGCCTGTCACAATGTCCACTGCTTTTTTCAGAGATGGCATCTTGCTCTTGCTCTGGCTGGTCTTGAACCCCTGAGCTTAAGCAATCCACCTGCCTTGGCCTCCCAGAATGCTAGGATTATAGGCATGAACGACCATGCCTGGCCTAATCACTTAACATTTTAAAGTATCTTAAGTAATCAATTTCCCTCCCATCCAATAAAGTTACCATATCTCTTCAAATACACATGTATCTGTTAAGTATTTATAAGGCAAAAATTGTTATCTTAAGAATAACTTAATTACTTACTTTTATTACAAAATAACACCATGTAATCTTGTTCAAGTAGTTTCTAGGATTTTCACTCAGAAATGTTATAATGCCATCTAATCTTATAAAAGAAAGATACCTTAGTCTAAAGATTAAAAGTAGATTCTGTGTTTAAGCTAAAAATATAAATCTCCATAATTTATATTCTGAGGATAATATCTTAAAATATAAGAAAGAGAGGTCATCCTTTAAATTTTCCTAATTAAAAGGAGAAGTTGGAACAACAAAAACAAAAGACTTCCACATATTGACTTTTTCACCTGACTGGCTTCCAGTTCAATGTCTCGCCCTTTATGTAAGATCTCTTCTGCAATCTGCTTTTCAAAACTTTTCCAAGCACCATCTAAATCAACCAGCTCCGTCTCTAGGGCTCTTATGTCATCTTCCTGTTTAGAACACTGTTTTTCACTGTCTTTTATTGATTTCTTAGCTGCATCTAATTTCTTGAGGTGGTGAGCAGTGTTTTCTTTGGCTTTGATATACTGAGGCCTTTTCTGATTTAAAAGGGCTTCAAGAGATCTAAAAAAAAGAAGAGTTTGCTTTAAAGGAAATTAAAAAGAAGTTCTTTTGACCAAATGACAATAAAACATAAATCAACTTTCAGAGACCGTAAGCAGATCAGTGGTTGCTAAAGACTGAGCAAGGTTAAGGGGATGGTTGAGTAGATGAAACAAAGGGCATCTTTTACATGCAAATTACTGTGTGATACTACAATGGTGGACACATGACTTGCTATAAATTTGTCAAAATCTATAGAACTTTATAGCACCAAGAATGAAACTTAATGTATATATATTTCAAAAATCACTTAGCAGGCTGAAGGATTATAGATGGAATGTAGACTGTGACAAAAGAATCTAACTTTATTATAATTCACAAAGTAATCTTACAGAAGGGGTGAGAGGAAAATGTGCTGGCCTAAATAATTTTAGAAATGAGTAGTGTTTGTAAGACTAAAAGCAAAAGGAACTGTATATAAGCACTGTACTCTAGTTATAAAGTTGCTTCCCACTGGGGTATGGGTTAACAATTCTGATACTGCTATATATCATTACTAGAACTGAACAATTAAGCAAATATATGGCAGATGGTGGAAGTCTGATTTTTCACTGTTGAAGTGGGAGGTTATACATAAGCAAGAAAGGGTAGAATAATTCATGTGGGAGACAGCAATATGAACTCATGTTTAGCTTAATAGATATAGATGTCTACATATGGAAGTACTTACAGATATGTATGTATACAAGGGTTAATATACACATATATTTTCTTGTTCTATCAGTTAAGAAAGTCTAGAAGCAAAGATACCACAGTAGCAATGAGCATACTTAGCACCTCGGTGATGGTTCCTAATACAATTCTTCAACAAAAGGAACCAGAGGTCCTTGGAAAAATGACCAATTATAGGCCTGGGGCAGGCTTCATACAAGCTGGGGTGGGCTGATGCTAGGAGTGGCTCCTATAAGATGAACCTGGAACATCTTGTAGTGCCAGAAAGTAAGGAAATGCTCCCCCCCAAATCACAATAATAGAATATTTCAGAGATACAGAGCTAACTCAAAGAGTTCTCAATGGCTGTATTTTGAACTAAGTAACAAGAAAAAATAATGTACTATTGGATAATTCTGAATGGTCTGATACAAGACCATTTTATGGTCTTATTCTCCCACACCTATGACCCCAGCATAATAATTATGACAAAACTATTACACAAATTCCAACTGAGGGACATTCTACAAAAAACCCTGCCTAATATTCTTCAAAACTGTCAAGCTCAACAATAGCAAGGAAAGTCTGAGAAACTGTCACAACCAAAAGAAGCCTAAGGAGACAAATAACTAAATGTAATATATTCTAGATCAGAAAAGTACATTAGAAAATATGAATAAAGTAGGGACTTCAGTTAGTAATAACATATCAATATTGGTTTACCAATTCTGACAAAGGTATCATACTAACTTAAGATGTTAATAATTAGAGAAAGTGTGGGGAATAGGGGAATGCTCTGTATACTTACAATCTTTCTGTATATCTGAAGGTATTCCAAAGTAAAAAGCTTATTTCTTAAATTAACTTTCAAAGTGCCACTTATATTTTTCTCTGTCAATCTACATAAAACACAATTGTTAATACCTATTTTTAAAAACTCACTTTAATTCTTTTTCTGTTTGTTGTAGTTGTCTAGTCAATATCCCATGCTCCTTTTTCTTGGCTTTAACTATATTTTCATGATGAGAAAAAGACTCTTTTGTGATACTCAAATCCCTATTCACATGCTCTAGTTCAGTCTTCAGAAAATGAAGTTTTTTCTCATTATGGTAAAGCTGGAAAAGCTGCAGTTGTATCTTGTTTATTTTCAGTTCTTCAAGGAGACTCTGGTAACGTTCTGCCTGTGAAAGACCACAATTCAACAGTAGCTAAAAAGAGGGTGTATAGAAGGTGACCTTTCATAAACTCAACTATTGTACCAACAAGATGATCTCTAATGAATTTTTGTTTGTGCCATTAAGTAACAGTATTCTTGCCCAAAGTAGCATTATTTGGATATACTTTTAAAATAAGCCAATAAACCAGTAAATGACTTTGTGTTCATGCACTTAGTGGTTATGATGGTAAGGACAGAGTGGCACCCACTAACCTGGGTCTTAATCCCATTTCTATCTTGACCTGTGAATTTGGCAAATCCATTAACATATCTGGCATCAGTTTCCTCATTTGTAAACTGAAGGAAAAGTTTTATGTAATTTATAATGTCCCTGGAAACTTAAAATTTAATGATTCCAGGTAAAAGTCGTACTGAAGGGAATAATTTCTACTATATAGTTCTACTGATAGAACTAATAGGACTATTATGGTTCTAAATTATATAAGAAAAGGAAGTCTTTATTTAACACTGGTACTATTAATAAACAAATAAAGAGGCTGCTGTGAGAGGAGAGCTCCTAATCAATATTGGAAATATTCCAAGTAACAGGTAAATAGCCATCTGCCAGGATGTTATAAAAGATAATTAGAAAGCTGGATTATTCTAATTGTCCTTATAATGTTTAAATTCTGCAATTCTGTAAGCTATTTGTGTGTGTGTGTGTGTGTGTGTGTGTCTGTGTGTGTGTATACACAGAGTCTCAAGCTGTTGCCCTGGGTAGAGTGCCGTGGCATCACAGCTTACAGCAACCTCCAACTCTTTGGCTTAAATGATCCTCTTGCCTCAGCCTCCCAAGTAGCTGGGACTACAGGCACCTGCCACAATGCCTGGCTATTTTTTGGTTATAGTTGTCATTGTTGTTTGGCAGGCCCAGGCTAGATTCGAACCCACCAGCTCCGGTTATGTGGTTGCCACCCTAGATGCTGAAACTATTTTAGTATATTGTGAGTGTCAGTCTGAGTTTTACTGATGTCACTCCTTTCCACTAACAAAACCAAGGACATGTACACATATTCAAAAATATTAAGACACAGAGAAACATCACCAATAAGAAACACATCTACCTTTCACTTACTTCATTAAATATTTACTGAGTGTCTACTATGTGCCAGGCCCTGATCTATGCACCGGGAGTATACTCGAGAACAAAACAGATTGTCTCAATTCTTACAAAGCTTATATTTCAGCCATTTTAACTGGGGAGAAGGAGGAAAAGTAGTCAGAAGAAACAAGCAAACAAGTAATAAATAATTTCATACAGCAATAAATGCTACAAAAGAAACAAAACAGGGTAATGTGATAGTACAAGGGAGGGAGTGCTAATTTAGATTGGGGGCATGGACGGCAAATGCTTGCCTAAGAAAATGGTTTTTTTATAAAAATTTGAATGAGAGAGTATCAACTATGCAAAAACCAGGCATATAGCTATCTAGGTAGAGAAAATAGCAAAATGTGGTGTGTTCAATAAATAATAAAGGTCACTGTGATAGCAAAGTGGAGGAAGTTAAGGCTCAAGAGGTGAACAGTAGGGGTAAGATCAGTAGGCTGTATCAGAGACTAGATTCGCAGTGCAGAAAGCAGCACTGAACTGGAAGGTTTATATAAGGGAAAAAACAGGATTGATTTGCATATGAAAAAGAACACTTTAAATACAAACCATGATCAACTGTAGCTAAGGTACTTAATATACTAGGCATTGGGAAGGGACTGAGAAATTCCATAGAACTCTTCACTTAGAGCCTCTATAGTTTCTGTACGGTCCCTAAGACGCTTTTAGGGAGTCCCTGAAGGCAAAAACTATTTTCATAATAATACTAAGACTTTATTTGACACTTTTAGTGTCTTGACACTTGCATTACTGGTACAAAAGCCAATGGTGGGTAAAACCTCTAGGCCATAGCACAAATAAGATTTAATACAGAAGTACTTATAAGAGTCCAGCTGTTTGTCTTCTAAGCTAGTCATTAGATTATAAAAATACAAAAACAATGTCTCTCTTCTAATTAATTTGTTTTGGGAAATATAGTTATCTTTCATAAAATGTTATTTATGTTAACATATAATGAGCTTATTGCTATTTTTACATGGATCACCAAAAATATTATTTAAATTTTTAACTTTAATTTCAAATATAATAAATATTGTTAGATATAACCCATATCAAAAACCCATAACAAAATCTTCTGGGGTCCTCAGTAATATTTAAGAATGTAAAGAAGTCAAGATCTAAAAGTTTAAGAGTCTCTGCCACACAAAATATAAACCTCTCAAAGTTGTTTTCAGGTGTAAAAAAATCAGACTCTTTTTTGAGACAGCATCTTATTCTGTTGCCCAGGCTAGAGTGCCACGGCATCAGCACAGATCACAGAAACCTCTAACTCCTGGGTTTAAGCAATCCGTCTGCCTCAGCCTCCTAAGTAGCTGGGACTACGGGCACCCACCACTACACCGGCTAATTTTTCTATTTTTAATAGGGACAGGGTCTTGCTCTTGCTCAGACTGGAATTGAACTCCTGAGCTCAAGGGATCCTCCCTCAGCCTCTAAGAGTGCTAGAATTATAGGCATCACTGTGCCTGGACAAAATAAGATATTGTTACATACAGTTTAGCTATCCTGTCCATCAAGAAAGAAAAATCCAAACAGTGGAAGATATATCAAAAAGTTTATTTTTAATGAATATTGGCTGTTATTTGTCTTATGTTAGTAGAGAAAGTTTCTTGCTAACCCAAGTCCATATTTAGTGATTCCAACAGGAAGTTTTGTATTGAACACTTAATGGTTATATCTTCTTGACACCTTACCTCTTCCTTCTCTAATTTTGCATGTCTGCGCTCTGCTGCTACATTTTTTTTCTTATTAAAATTAAACTGAGCATCCTCTTCAGCTTTTTGTAATTTTCTTTTCTTCTCTTCATATTCTTTTATGAGCTCTCCTGACGTGCTGATTTCCTCAAAAAACTGTGTTCTTTCTTTGGGTTTTTTCATTGAAATCGACTCTACAGTTCCCTTTTAAAAACAGTAAAGCACAACAGTATGTAAAGCACAACAGTATATAAAATATAGTGATGTATTTTTAAAGCTATGAATCAAATAAATTACTATATTTACCTGAAAAACTAAACAGTTTCGTGCTTTGACTATTATGCCTATCTTTTCCAACTCTGCTATGTAAACGGAACGATTCACAGGATTATCATCAAAATGGAATTCCGAACAACTGCCTAAAATCAAATAAAAACTGTTATAGAAAATATAAATATTGAATAGAAATATTTTTCTTATTGAAATGGCCAGTTATTCAATAATACAGTGGTTATAAATACATTGTCAACAAATATTGAATATAATCATTCCTGGCATCTTGGCTAAGATCAAGTATAGTAACAAATATTGTCTATCCAAGGACTATGTTATAGCAAGGAAGAAAACAGACAAAAGTCTCTGATCTCAGAAAGTTTATATCCTAGTCAAAAAGACAACAAAACTAAGATATGCAAGTAAAATAAATAGTATGTTAGAAAGTAGTAGCTAGGCATGGTGCTACACCCCTGTAGTCTCAGCTACTTGGAAGGCTGAGGCAGGAAGACGGCTCAACCCTGGAGTTTGAGGTTGCTGTGAGCTAGGCTGAGGACCTGTCATTCTATCCCCAAAGAAAAACAAAGAAAGTGGTAAATGCTAAGGAACAAAGACGAGATGGGAAGGAGAAACAGAAGTTTTTATGTAGGAGAAACAGGCATTAAAATTTTATGTTATTTTATTATTTTAGTTCTAAGGGCAAGGGGTTTTCTCTGCCACCCAGCTGGGATGTAGTGGTGTGATCATAGATCACTGCAGTCTCAAACTCCTGGGCTCAAGTGATCCTCTTACTTCAGCTTCCCAAGTAGTTAGAATTATCGGCATTCACTATTATGCACGGCTAGCTAAAAAAAGTTTTTTTTTAAAAATATCTGTAGAGACAGCCTCTTTGCTCTGTTGCTGGAGCTAGTCTTAAAACTCCTGGGCTTAAGCAATCCTACTGCCTCAGCCTCCCACTGCAACCAGCTGACATTGCAATTTTAAATGGATACCTAAGTGAATCCTTACTGAGATGGAGACTATTGAGTTAAAGATCCAAAGAAAATGAGAAAACTAGCCAATATACCCAATTGATAATGTGGTAAAATACACATTTAAGTATATAATAAATATTTCTAAAATCATTTGTCATTGAATTTGGGGGAGGTTAGTAAGACAGTATTTCTCATTAGAAATGTTCTAATGGATGAGAATAAAAACAATAACCAAAACACTTAAACATTGAAGCTCTGTAAAATCCCAGCATAGGATAATATATATGTATGTATATATATATTTATATATACACAAAAACAACTTTTGATCTTGTTTATTCAGGAAACATAGGGAATTTATGAATAAATCACAAATTACAAATTCAAAGCATTATCCATTCAAACTTTTCACTCAATTTGCTTTTTGGTGGTAGAAAAAACTGTCTACACAAGCCTAAAATATGCATATAATTATCACAGTTCACCATTAAATAAACCTGATAAACATGAAGAATCTCAAGAAGAACTTGATTTCTCTGTCTTTAAGGTAGGCTCTCTCCTCTTCATCTTAACCAATTATCCAGATATAAAAATTTTATTTAACATTAGGGGGATTTGAATAAATGTCTGCTTAGTGAAGAATTAAACAGGTTCCATTACTTGCTTCTGATATTTGCTGTCTAAGAGAAAAACAAGAACCTTTATTCACTATGCCAATGCAATAATAAGTCACACCCTCATAGAAAGAAAAAATGGGCAAGCTTAACTCTTGAAAAATCAAATGACTCGCCAGGTGCAGTGGATCACGCCTATAATTTTAGCATTCTGGGAGGCTGAGGTGGTAGACTGCTTGAGCTCATGAGTTCAAGACCAGCCTGAGCAAGAGTGAGACCTCCGTCTCTACTAAAAGTAGAAGAAAAAAAAACTAAAGCAAGAGGATCACTTGAGCCCAAGAGTTGGAGGTTGCTGTGAGCTATGATGATGCCATGGCACCTCTACCCAGAGCAACAGCTTGAGACTTTGTCTCCAAAACAAACAGCAGCAACAACAAAAAAAAATCAAATGACTCATAAGCAAGTATCTATGAAAAATACCTCGGATGATCCTTGCAAATGTTTTCTCTTCCCCACTTTCTTCCACATATACAATTTTTACACTTGCAGAAGAAGAAACAGGTTTTCCAATATGTGCACCATGTATAAGTTCTTGAATACTTTTCACTCTTAAATTAGCTGTTTTCTCTCCCATTACAAAACTAAGTGCATCCATTACATTAGATTTTCCTGGGGGAAGAAAAGAGATAAAGCATTATTCATTCTTTATGATAAAACATCTTGCCCAGAACTGATGCCAGGCTACCAATGGAAGTTCAAAATGCATGTAACTGAGAAATTTAACATAGATCATTTGTTTTTTCTATGCAGTGATGGTAATGCATTAAGAGGTCTAAATTTAAGGATCTGAATACATACATCTAAATCAGCTTTCTCTCATGATTAGATATCACACCATGGCAAATCATTTAATTTCCCTGAACTTTAGTTATCTTCATTTAAATAATATGGAAACTATCACCTAAACCAATAGTGCATCACCAAACCCTCACATCTACTAAAATAAAATAAAATAAAATAAAATAAAATAAAATAAATCAGGGCTCAGCACCCATAGCACAGTGGTTATGGCACCAGCCACCTACACCAAGGCTGGCAGGTTCGAACCCAGCCCAGGCCAGCTAAACAACAATGACAACTGCAACAGAAAAATAGCCAGGCATTATGGCGGGTGCCTATAGTCCCAGCTACTTGGGAGGCTGAGGCAAGAGAATCGCTTATGCCCAAGAGTTTGAGGCTGCTGTGAGCTATGAAGTTACAGCACTCTACCAAGGGTGACATAGTGAGAATCTGGCTCCAAAAAAAAAAAAAAAAAAGTTAAATTACTGAAGTTATGGCTATCCCAATTACCCTGATTAATTCATATGTTATCTATATCAAAATGATCACATGTACCCTCCCTATAAAGATATACAACTACTATGTACCCATAATAATTAAAAATTAGAAAAAACCTATTACTCTCTAACATTCTATACAGAAGGTGCCAAAAAAGTATAAACATTGTAAGGAAAAAACTGTACCATATTTCCCTGAAAATAAGACCTACCCCCAAAATAAGCCCTAGCAGGATTTCTATGCATTTGTTAAATATAAGCCCTATCCCGATAATAAGACCTACTGATGGGAGTGGCTATGCAGCATATCTGCATTGCCATGCCATGCATTTCGTCACGGAGATGAAGACATCACCTGAAAATAAGCCCTAGTGTGTCTTCTTGAGAAAAAATAAATATAAGACAGTGTCTTATTTTTGGGGAAAAATGGTATTAAAATCGTAGTATTCCGCATATATCAATAACAAAAAATGAATACAAATATCAAATACAAGAATCGACTTTTGCAATTACAAAAGGTGCTCAAAGTGGTTACCATCAACCTCCAGACACTTCTGATTATGATGAAATACTGGGTGAGCAACACTGACCAAAGCGTCTACTTGTACTATCACTGCGCACATCGTTTTAGTTTCTTCCTGAAGTACCATCAATGTATCTGGCTTTCTACCCAGTTTTCTAAGGTACACCATACCCTTCAAGGTCTCCCAGAAATCAGGGGGTGTTAAGTCAGGAGAACATGGGGGAAACTCAACCACACCTCTTTGTTCTATCCATTGTTATGGCAAATTTTCATCAAGGTAAGCCCTCTCGTCTCAGTGCAGGTACTGATGTGTTCCTGGGATGAACTTTCCATTTTGCTCTTTTAAAACATCATATGTTTGTTCTGCTAATTCCTGTCTCACGTGCACATTGTTTGGTAGACTTCTGTGGCAAGTGTGCAAACTATTCCAGCAAAACAGCAGAAGCAGGTCTAGCTGTATGAGGCCTCTCAGATCTTTCCTTGAGCACATCACACACAATACCATGCATCTCAAACTTGAATGCATGCAAATGATACACATACTGGAGGTTCTGCTGCATGCTCACATCTCCATTGTTGTTGTACCTCCACAATGGTCTCAAATTTCAAATATTTCAGAAGGGGCTTATTGTGCTCCTCGAAAGACAACTGACAACTATGCTTCTACCATTTTCTTTAACGGTTCTGGCTGCATGGTGATGCTAGCATTCATTTGATTAACATCATCTTTTGAGTGAATGTCACATATTGCTACTATAATTCAATTCGACTTCTAAAAACAATACATAGGCTCGGCGCCTGTGCCTTGAGTGGCTAAGGCAGCAGCCACATACACCTGAGCTGGAGGATTCGAATCCAGAAGAGAAAGATGATAGTTAACAACAGCAAATATTCAAGAGGAGATAGGATTCACAGTACAAGTAGACAGAATGGCTCTATACTCAGGCACAGTTCTAGTATTTCCTTACTAAAAATACTTCAAAGTCTTTTTTTCCCAGAAAGTTAAATACAAAGTCCTCATCAGCCTTACAGCCCATTGCTACCCTAAATATGCACCACATTTTGGCTAACTTGGCCTGTTGGTTGTCCCCTAAATAGACCTTCCCAAATCCCTGAGAAAATATTCTATTCTTTAACCCAGATCAAATGGCATCTCTTCTAGAAAACCTTTCCCAGTCTATTTCTCTCCCAGTTATATGTCCCTAAATCATGTTTTATTTTCATTAAGTTTCATAAAGTATTATTTGACCTTCTATTTAATTAACGTTATTTTCTTATTATCCCTGTACTCTTGGAACAGAAATTATCTTATTCTGCATGTTGTCTTCTGCTCCCAACACTCTATATGGAACAACTATTTGCTGAATCTAACAATGGAAAACATGAAGACCAAGATTAAAATTGAAATTTTTCCTCTACCAGCAAAAAAATTAAATCTACTAAAAACAAATGAGAACTTGTAAAGTTGTGGCTGATGGTGACAATAGAAAATTATTATAAAAAAGAATACTAGGTTGGGCATGATGGCTAATACCTGTAATCCCAGCACTTCGAGTGGCTGAGGCAGAAGGATCACTTGAGGCCAGGAGTTTGACAGCAACCTGGGCAAAATGACAAGATCCCATGTCTACAAAAAAATTCACCAGGTATGGTGGTATGTGCCTCTAGTCCTAGCTACTCAGGAGGCCAAGGCAGGAGGATTACATGAGCCCAGGAGTCTGAGGCTACAATGAGCTCCAAAAAAAAAAAAAAA